CTCCTCATTACGGACACAACAGGTGGGCAGACCCAGGAACTCAGTGGCAGCCCTTTATAATGAACACAGCAGGGGTATAGAACCAAGAGCCCAATATAGGGATTTTGGGAGTTCTTCATAAAAAACACCGCAGATGTACAGACCTTGGAACTCAGCGCAAGAATGAAGTGAACACTGCAGGTATCCCAGAAGTTCAGGGATGCTATGAGCCAGGGGCGGACTGACCATTTGGGAACTCGGGCACTGCCCGAGGGCCCAGGATCAGTAGGGGGCCCCATGAGATGTTCCTGGTACCTTTCATAGGCTTTTTTGGGTGTGGTTTGAGTGTGGGCGAGCACACAGGGGCCCCATGATCCCCTGTTGCCCAGGGGCTCCATGAGTTGTCAGTCCGCCCCTGCTATGAGCCCTTCATAATGAGCACAAAAGGCATACAGGCCCTGGACCTCAGCACAGGTATGGTGGGAACCTCTCATAATGGACACAGCTGTTACATATACCCAAGAACTCAGCATAGAAATGGAGGGAGCCCCTTATAATAGAGACAGCAGCTGTTTAGATCCAGGAACCCAACACAGGGATGGTGGAAATACATCATAATGGGCACAGCAGGTGTACAGACCCGGGAGCTCAGCACAGGGATGGTGGGACTCCTCATAATGGGCACAGCAGGTGTACAGACCCAGGAAATCAGCACAGGGATTGTGGGAACCTCTCGGGCACATCAGGTGTACAAACCCGGGAACTCAGCACAGGAATTGTGGGAACCCCTCATAATGGGCACATCAGGTGTACAGACCTGGGAACTCAGCACAGGAATTGTGGGAACCCCTCATAATGGGCACAGCAGGTGTACAGATCCCGGAACTCAGCACAGGAATTGTGGGAACCCCTCATAATGGGCACAGCAGGTGTACAGACCTGGGAACTCAGCACAGGAATTGTGGGAACCTCTCATAATGGGCACAGCAGGTGTACAGATCCCGGAACTCAGCACAGGAATTGTGGGAACCCCTCATAATGGGCACAGCAGGTGTACAGATCCCGGAACTCAGCACAGGGATTGTGGGAACCCCTCATAATGGGCACATCAGGTGTAAGACCTGGGAACTCAGCACAGGGATGGTGGGAACCCCTCATAATGAGCACAGCAGGTGTACAGATCCCGGAACTCAGCACAGGAATGGTGGGAACCTCTCATAATGGGCACAGCGGGTGTACAGACCCGGGAACTCAGCACAGGGATGGTGGGACTCCTCATAATGGGCACAGCAGGTGTACAGACCTAGGAACTCAGAACAGAGAGATCTCACCAGTAAAGTACCTGAGTGACAGAAGATATTATTAGGAGATTTAACACTCCAGTATCCTTCAAACATTGAAATACTAGTTTTGACACATATTATTATTATTATTTTTTTTTTTCAAAATCCCATGCTACCCAAGTAAAGAAGAAAAGGATGAAGATGTCAGCTTCTATATTCATACCTTAGCAGATTCTTTTGAAATCCGGTTTGGGAAATAAAGTGACACATTCGTTACCATCACCGTAATTAGATTGGATGGCACGGCGCGTCCGCGCGTCCTCCATACCTCGGCCATATATTAAGGTGTTAACCTTGAATTTGTAAGCCGATGCTATAATTTGCTGGCCTTGCATCCTGCGGCTCCTGTAAGTGTGCTGAGCAGCGACGTGACTGATTACGGCCTAATGCTTTCATACCGGCTGATCTAGAACGTTCCGACTACATTTAAATCACAAATGACTGTCTCTCCTGCGCAAATTATCTCAGGCCGACGGAGCCAAACTCCGGAGCCCATCTTAATGCAGCGCGCCTGCATAATGACAACACCGTGTTTGTGTAGGCACAGATGGGTAGGTTGATGGATAGGTGACACTTTGCTGGAGTACATGCGGCATGGTGACACGCTAACAAGTTATAGACACAGGTAGCGTCTGCGATAATTGAAAAGGAAGGTGATGCATTACCCCAGGAGCGCGGATTTAATGTTCCAATCATACACTATTAGTCCGTTAAGTAGTTTATTAATACAGTGAATAAAAAATGCAGCTCATACTGTCCTTGGATGGAAGGAAACATCCCGACGGTTAAGGAGACGTTCCAGCCAACCGTAACAATGTTGCATCAAGAGGAAACCACAGAGTAGATATTTCCAGTTATTAAAAACAAACTCCATGTAGATTTAAAAACAGCCATGTACTCATTACAAGTCAGTGAATGTATTTTTAAATCCAATCAGTGTAAATATCTTCATTTGACTTAGAAAGTATGTTACCCCAACCAGGGGCGGACTGACAACTCATGGGGCCCCCGGGCAATTGGGGATCATGGGGTCCCTGTGTCCTTGCCCAAACTCAAAAAAGCCTATGAAAAAGGTACCAGGGGCATCTCATGGGGCCCCCTACTGACCCCGGGCCCTAGGGCAGCGCCCGAGTTTCCAAATGGTCAGTCCGCCCCTGACCCCAACATTTCATATTCCAGATATGTGTCTGATGTACCATGGACTTGTGTTACAAAGTCTCCTGTTCTCTTTGTATTGCTTCCTTTGTGTGATATACATGGTCTTCCTGCCAGGCCCTCTGGTTTCAGATTTCAAACTGACCATGCTAGGCACGAGAGCACACCCATACAGGGGTGTAATACAGTGAATACAAATGCAGCTCATACTGTTCTTGGATTGAAGGAAACATCCCGACGGTTAAGGAGACGTTCCAACCAACCGTAACAATGTTGCATCAAGAGGAAACCACAGAGTAGATATTTCCAGTTATTAAAAACAAACTCCATGTAGATTTAAAAACAGCCATGTACTCATTACAAGTCAGTGAATGTATTTTTAAATCCAATCAGTGTAAATATCTTCATTTGACTTAGAAAGTATGTTACCCCAACCAGGGGCGGACTGACCATTCGGGCACTCGGGCACTGCCCGAGGGCCCAGGGTCAGTAGGGGGCCCCATGAGATGCCCCTGGTACCTTTCATAGGCTTTATTGGGTGTGGATTGACTGTGGGCGATGACACAGGGGCACCATGATCCCCTATGGCCGGGGGGCCCCATGAGTTGTCAGTCCGCCCCTGACCCAACATTTCATATTCCAGATATGTGTCTGATGTACCATGGACTTGTGTTACAAAGTCTCCTGTTCTCTTTGTATTGCTTCCTTTGTGTGATATACATGGTCTTCCTGCCAGTCCCTCTGGTTTCAGATTTCAAACTGACCATGCTAGGCACGAGAGCACACCCATACAGGGGTGTATTTACCACAAGGCATTTGCCTAGGGCGGCATTATTTAGGGGGGCAGCACTGCCCCCTGGAAGAAGGTACATATACGGCATGGGGACCAGGTGGGATCCAAGAGAGGCTTCGAGCTGCTGGATGGTGCATGCAGAGCCCAACTGTTGTTCCCGGGGATGTCCAAAGCTGTGAAGGTGCATGTCTTTCTCTCTGTCACTGTGGAGGGGGTGTTAGTGAAGGCTCTCTCGGGTGTGGGGGGGGGGGATGGGACAGAGGTTACATAGTTACATAGTTAGTCTGGCTGAAAAAAGACAAAAGTCCATCCAGGGGTGTTGTTGGTCACTGTCTCTCCGCGGGGGGGGGGGTGGGGTGTCTGGTGTTGGTAGGTGTGATGCTCTCTCTCTGCCGGGGAGGGGGGTGTCTGATTTGATTCTTGTGTTGCCTAGGGCAGCTCGAAACCTAAATACTCCACTGTACCCATACCAGCAAAAGGTTATCTAGCGCCCAGGGGGAAGATGCTAAACTATGCCCCCTCAAGATGTATGAGCATTATATGTCAGCAAAAATCCCCCCCCCAAAAAAATGCACTAATCTGCATGCTAACCCTATAAGCATGTATCCCCTTGCAAGCCAAAACTCTCTCTAAATAAAAATTCCCCCTCCTCCCATTACAAATCCCCCGCTGCTGAAATCCCCCTCCCAGCACAAATCTTTGACCCCAAGGGTTTCCTTAAACGCCCCCATCTCCTCTTTGCTGGGAGGAGATGGGGGCAGGTAAGGAAACCCTGCACAGTCCTATTCTGACAGTTGTAATGCAGGAACCAGAGGGGAGAGAGAGTACAGCCCCCACCTCCTCCTGGCTCTCTTCTGCTCTCCTGATTCTGCTTGTCTCTTCCTACGCTAAGCTGACATGAGTAGTAATGCTTCTGTCACTACTCGTGTCAGCTTGTAGCTTCAGGAACACTTTAAGCGGAACCTCCCCACACCTCACATGATACCACAGCGCTCAGGGCAGCCACCCCTCCTGCCCACCCCATGTCCCGGCCCTGCATACTACCATGTTCAGTTTTCTGGCTGTGCTGGGGGGAGAACAGCCTACCTGTCCTCCAATGACCAAGACTTGTGCTGATACCCCCTCTGCAAATCCATTCACTGGGAAGATCAGTGTGCTGCTGTGTCTCCACCCTCACCTCTCTAAGCCCCTTACTGTATACAGCTGAAAACAGAGGTTATATAATCATTTACTGATTGGGTTGTTTTAAAAGGTAAAGATTCATACATCAGAAACACACACAGATCCATAGCTCTGCTCAAGGCTGGCCTCTCTTGTACATGGACGTCCTGGGTGCTGACCATCGTAGTCTGTCTCCACTCTGCTTTAAAAATATGAAAGAATGTCAGCCTATTCCACTTAACTCCTCAGCATTTTTTAATAAACAATGAATCAACTGCATACAGTAATGTCTCCACCCAAAACCCAACCTTCTTTGACACATTTCACCACTTCTGACTTCCTCACAAGGATAGTGAGTAGGCCAGGAGAGGTGAAACACATCATGGAAGGTTGCTTTTTGGGTGGGGAGATCACTGTATGCAGTCAATTTTGGTTTGAAAGTGTTACTAAACCCAGGACCCTGCATTCACTATATCTGGTCTCCCCGGACCCTGCATTCACTATATCTGGTCTCCCCGGACCCTGCATTCACTATATTCGGTCTCCCTGGACCATGCATTCACTATATCTGGTCTCCCCAGACCCTGCATTCACTATATCTGGTCTCCTCGGACCCTGCATTCACTATATTTGGTCTCCCTGGACCCTGCATTCACTATATCTGGTCTTCCTGGATCCTGCATTCACTATATCCGGTCTCCCCGGACCCTGTATTCACTATATCCGGTCTCCCCGGACCCTGCATTCACTATATCCGGTCTCCCCGGACCCTACATTCACTATATCTGGTCTCCCCGGACCCTGCATTCACTATATCTGGTCTCCCCGAACCCTACATTCACTATATCTGGTCTCCCAGGACCCTACATTCACTATATCTGGTCTCCCCGGACCCTGCATTCACTATATCTGGTCTCCCAGGACCCTGCATTCACTATATCCAGTCTCCTTGGACCCTGCATTCACTATATCTGGTCTCCCCGGACCCTGCATTCACTATATCTGGTCTCCCTTGACCCTGCATTCACTATATCTGGTCTCCCCGGACCCTGCACTCACTATATCTGGTCTCTCGGGACCCTATATTCACTATATCTGGTCTCCCCGGACACTACTTTAACTATATCTGGTCTCCCCGGACCCTGCATTCACTATATCCGCTCTCCCCGGACCCTGCATTCACTATATTTGGTCTCTCCGGACTCTGCATTCACTATATCTGGTCTCCTCGGACCCTGCATTCACTATATCCGGTCTCCCTGGACCCTGCATTTACTATATCCGGTCTCCCCGGACCCTGCATTCACTATATCCGCTCTCCCCGGACCCTGCATTCACTATATCCGCTCTCCCCGACCCTGCATTCACTATATCCGCTCTCCCCGGACCCTGCATTCACTATATTTGGTCTCTCCGGACTCTGCATTCACTATATCTGGTCTCCTCGGACCCTGCATTCACTATATCCAGTCTCCCTGGACCCTGCATTTACTATATCCGGTCTCCCCGGACCCTGCATTCACTATATCCGCTCTCCCCGGACCCTGCATTCACTATATCCGCTCTCCCCGGACCCTGCATTCACTATATCCGCTCTCCCCGGACCCTGCATTCACTATATTTGGTCTCTCCGGACTCTGCATTCACTATATCTGCTCTCCCCGGACCCTGCATTCACTATATCTGTTCTCCCCGGACCCTGCATTCACTATATCTGGTCTCCCCGGACCCTACATTCACTGTATCTGGTCTCGCCGGACCCTACATTCACTATATCTGTTCTCCCCGGACCCTGCATTCACTATATCCGCTCTCCCCGGACCCTGCATTCACTATATTTGGTCTCTCCGGACTCTGCATTCACTATATCTGGTCTCCCCGGACCCTGCATTCACTATATCTGTTCTCCCCGGACCCTGCATTCACTATATCTGGTCTCCCCGGACCCTACATTCACTGTATCTGGTCTCGCCGGACCCTACATTCACTATATCTGTTCTCCCCGGACCCTGCATTCACTATATCTGGTCTCCCCGGACCCTGCATTCACTATATCCGGTCTCCCCGGACCCTGCATTCACTATATCTGGTCTCCCCGGACCCTGCATTCACTATATCTGTTCTCCCTGGACCCTGCATTCACTATATCTGTTCTCCCTGGACCCTGCATTCACTATATCTGCTCTCCCACAGTACACAGAACACATAAATGCAATTATTTTATTAAATATAAACTGCTAAATATAAAAAATGTCAGCTCCCTTGGCCAAAAAAACAAAAACAAAAAACCACTCAACACTTTATCATCCATCCCTAGCAGTCAGAAAACAAATCTAGGACTTGTTAGATTCCACCTATATGTACATGTGAATACAAATTAATAAATATCTTAGCTGACAAATAAATTAATAAAAAAAAAACTTCTGTCATTTGTTTAATTAAAAAGTACAGTTGAGTAGGATGTAAAGACACAAACGTCAAAAATCAGCAAGATAACATTTAGATTCAACACTAATGACAGAAACTACCTTGAACAGCCTTGTTTGAGCTCTAAAACATTAAATATATTTCATTTCATCAGATAGGATAATGTTCTAGTCCATTTTCTCAGGACCTTTTAAAAATACACATCCCCTCATCCTCAATGGATTTCCCAGTTGTCCCCATACTTCCTTCACCAGACCTCATTATCACCATTCCTATTAGGTACCAGTATTGTAGGATTGTTTTCAATCATCCTTTCAAAATATTCTGCCAGTAATGGATATCTTACTAGTCTTTGGATGTGGTGGCTGCATTAGTTTTCTTTTTATTTAAGGCTAAGAACACGTAGCCCAGTCTGCAGTTCCAGCAGGAAGGGGACCTTGTGACTGTGTTGTCCTGGAAGACTCTCACAAAATCCATAGTAGAGACTGCCGTCATATAACACAGAGCAGCTGGTGTTCAGCTGTCCTCCATCCTCTAGAGCAGGGGTGTCAAACTGGCGGCCCTCCAGCTGTTGCGAAACTACAAGTTCCATCATGCCTCTTCCTTTCAGAGTCATGCTGGTAACTGTCAATCTTGCAATGCCTCATGGCAACAGCTGGAGGGCCGCCAGTTTGGCACCCATGCTCTAGGGCATGGATGTTAAACTGGTGGCTCTCCAGCTGTTGCCAAACTACAAGTCCCATGAGGCATTGCAAGATTGAAAGTTACAAGCATTAATCCCAAAGCCCGGGGAATGATGGGACTTGTAGTTTTGCAACAGCTGGGGGCCACCAGTCTGACATCCCTGCTCTAGGGGGTGAACTGAGGACATGAACTGATAAAAAAAATTTGGGAGAAAATGTGGAGGATTGTGGGAAATGTAGTTCACAAAGAGACTCGGCTATTATTATAGGTTCAAGTTGAACTACAATTCCCAGGGATAGAGACTAAGGAGGAGGGGTTAAGGCACTTTTCCTGGGCTGAGAGAGAAACACTCTCTTTCTGTGGGGATATCCAGGACTGATACAGACTTGCTGCACCCGATGAGAAGAGAGGGGAGATTTCTGGCTGAGGAGCGGAGGCGGTGAGCAGATGGCGACATGTCAGAGCAGTAGAGATCTGGACTTTGGAAACCCTGCTGTTCAGATAAAAGAGCCGGATGTTGAGGACACTAATAACAAGAGAGACTCTCTGCTTAGCAGGTAAAAGAAGTGCTCCTGCTGTATAGGACTTGTGTGCGGCAGTTGGCCAACCCTACACTACAACTTCACAACAGATGGACAAAGTCACCTGCTAGGAACATTGTTATTGCAAGCCTCAGCTTTTACAGGAACGCTACCCTGAGTGCTCTTACTCAAGGTTTTGGACCCCAACAAGCTGGCCAGCAGAAGGACTACAGCAATATACTGGACACTGGCTACTACTGTGGTATATACCTATAGGTCCCTACCCCTTGTTAGGGTTACCCAGTGTAGGTCTCAGAAGGAGGTGCATTCAATGACATTCACTGTTTTGCAGCCTGTTACTCTTACCACTTAAGTATTGCAGTGCCATTGTTTTCTGCTGTTTGATTGTTGCAGTTCATTCCTCTAAAGTGCTTAATCACTGTTATATGTCTTTCTAACTGGTGGAGGGATGGACGCTGCTAAACTGGCCCCAGGAGTTCAGTGTTTAGAAATGGCCCCAGCTACCATTATGACCATTCCCTCTGACGAGTTTCTCCCCGTCCACTGGGGGCTTGGTCACAGAAGCTCCGCTGGGTGGGATCAATCATCAGAGGGCATGGCCAGAATGGCGGCTGAGGCCATTTCTCACTTTGGACTCCTGGGGTCTATTGAGCAGCGTCCATCCCCTCCACTTGTATTGGCTGATGCTGGAATCGCTCAGACTCATGCTCCCCTCTTCTCACTTGCTCACTTCTCTGCTGGGGTGATCATTTTCCTTCCATCCATAGCTTGGAGCGACGCCATAAGGCAGGGGTGGGCAACTGTGGCCCTCCAGCTGTTGTAGAACTACAATCCCATGAGGCATTGCAAAACTGACAGTTACAAGCATGACTCCAAAAGGCAGAGGCATGGTGGGACTTGTAGTTCACCAACAGCTGGAGGGCCACAGTTGCCCACCCCTGCCATAAGGTATACTTTTCACTATATCTTTCTAACTGTTAAGCCCTGTACTTATGGGCCGAATATTGGCTGGCATCAGCCGGTTCAACAGTGTCAGGGCAGGGCTGTGGAACGGACAGGTAGGCCTAGTGGCAGGGTCACGCACTGGCTGACGACAACCACCACCAACAGACCGAAGTCCCTCAGGGCGCAGAGTCTAAGTCCCAGGCTGCCCTTCACCAGGGCCCCTGATGGTGGAGATGGACTTGACGCAGCCAGGAACCAGGTCTCGGCCCCCGAGACACCCCGGCTGCGGTAATGGCCGCCACCAATGGCGTGTAGCTGGTAAGAATGACAATAGCGTAGTCAGGCAGGCCGGGTCGACAACAACGGAACAAAACGGTACAGAACAGTAGACAGAGAATCACAGGTCACGGGCCGGGTTCAGCAACGGAAGGTCAGATCGAAGGAAACCACAGAGAATGGTCTTAGTCACAAGCCAAGTCAGATACCAGAAGAGTCACAAGAGTATACACAGAGCTGAAGCAAGACACAAGTGCAAAGAGCATGTGTGGATCACAGGCTTATATGTACTCAGCCACACCCCTCTGGGGGATGGACCTCAGAGACCTGAAGGCATAAAGGATTCCCACCATGCTCAGCAGAAATCCAAGATGGATGCCAGCACGTGGAGTAACATAACCTCTGGGAAAAAGTAGGACCTTGACAAACAGAAACCGGCCAACATTTGGCCCATGTGTACACCAGCCTGTCTCACAGGACATACTGGAAACCAGAATCCAGTTGGCATCCAATCAGTGCTGGCAGCCAATGGCGGCGAGCACTGACCAGTGTATTCTGGCGAGGGGGGCGGTCCCCCTGTCAGAGCACAATAGCTCAGTGGAAAGATCGCAGTACAAACATTGGATAGTTAGCACAGCAAGCTCTTCACAAGTTCTTCAGTTTTTTTTTCCATTCTGCCCGCTGGATTGAACAAAAAAAAACCTGATAGTGTGTATCAGGCATTAAGGGGTAAGATCTACAAACATGATCTGCAAGTTCTGAAAATACCTCTTGATCTTGCTAGAAATTAGTTATCATCATAACTTCGTGCGGGCTGCACTGAAAGCTTAAAAATATCTTTGTTCAAAAAACTATTAATCTCCCCATCCCCCATGTAACAGAGATAAGGAGAGGAGGGGGTGTTTGTACTCCCAATCAGAAGAGCAGTCTGGGGTGACAATGTTCCATAGATATAGAAAAATCACTATTAAAAATTCTAATATGTTTATTTTACTGCATGCGTCTAATATGTTTATTTCCTATGATCATCACCTCCATCTAGTGGCTATATTGTGATATTTTTCTG